ATTCCTCTCGACGTTTCGCTGCCCTTATGGATGCTTTCATCCGAGGGAGCGTGAAGTGAAACAACGAAAGCGTCCGCCTAACTTAGGACACGGAGGAACAAAGCTGAATGACGAGAACTTGGGGGAGAACTTGTCTCCTTCAATCACCGTAAACAAGGATTGTGGTTCAATTCGCCTGGTGGTTGACGATTCTTGTTCCCTGACAAAGGGATGTTCTCTTCAAGAGAGCATCCGGTGTTTGGGTATGTAATAACTCTGGATAATGTGCTCTTCTTTTGCGAGGAGGAACGTCTGCGCGCTTACTTGGAATGTTCGACTAGGATTTGGGAATCAACATTTGGGAGCCTGGTACGAGTACCAGTTATCGATGGAATAATCTTATATCTGTGGCATTCCTTTAGAAGACACAAGACCCCAAAGTCAATCAAGCAGCGGGCTGTACTCAGGAAGCGGAATTTCTTCAGAGATGTGGAGGTGGACAGAGAGATATCACGCTCATTTTTCCATGACGCATGAAAAAACAGCAAAGAGAAGAAGGAAAGGAGAGAAGGGAGGAACAAACCTGACAATATATTTCTTCGCCCAATTCTTCAACCCGTTCTGAGGGTACCAAAAATTGGTGAGGAACCACTTGTCATATCTACCAGCATCCCGCACAATCTTCGCGTTGGCTCGCGGGAGGATGACCGTCCAATATCCTCTTTCGTAGAGCATTGAACGCGGAGGGAGAGTACCAGGAGGCGCTCGTGTGCGAGTTTTGGACGGATGCGGCGGAGGCTCATGAGAGGAGGAAATCGTGTGTTGGAGACGTCGGATAGAGTGGAAGGGCCGAGGTTTCATGATGCACTACTAGAAGGTCAAACCAGTAAAGCTGTTTGAAAAGGAGATGTGTGCAATTGAGCAGTACATTTCCGACCGCCTTACGCCTGTTTGAAAGTGCATATCATGATGAGCTACGCCTCTGCTCATCCACCACACATTAGCAGCCTGCTACTTCCCTCGCTTCCGCCTTCCCTTTCACCCTACCATCCCCGTGTTCCTCCAACGCCGTCCAAACCGTACCCCTCCACCCTCACATCCTCCAACGCCAACGCCGATTTGAACTCCTCCAATTCCCGCCGCCCAAAGAAGAAGAGAAAGAAAAACGCGAGCGTGGCGGATGTCGAAAGCGCGAGGTTGCATGAGGACATCGTCACGTGGCTGAAGGAGGGAACGGAGGGACTGATGCACTCTCTGACTGCAGATGGACGGTGGAGGGAATTTGTGAGGGCATTGGAGGTGGACGATGCGGAAGAAGCGAATGAAGAGTCATTCGATTTTGTTGCTGGAGAGAGAAACAGAGTGCGGGGAGAAAGGGAGTTAGACATGGATGTAAAGGTTTGGTGTATCAACGAAGAGGTTGATCAAGGTATGCTCCTCATTTACTGCGTGTGCTTTACACGCTAAATTGAACTGATGAGAGAGGCAGCACGATTTCCGCGCACGAATTATACCACAAACCGATCCTCAATCCATCCTCTTCTCTCCTGCACATCCCTGTCAGAACTTCCAAACACGATGATTCAACGGAAACATCCATTCTCCTCCCTCCACGCTCCGGTTTCATAATGGGGGACTTCACGACCTGGTGTGACGGAGAGTTACTGCGACCACTTCTCCCTAAAGATGGTCAAACCAAAGAAACAGGATGGGATCTCATCCTCCTTGAGTACGTCTTCCTATCTTTACTTCATCCAAATTATGGCTGAGATTTGATCATGTAAAATGAACAGTCCTCCGTGGCCGAACGCCTCTGCATCCCGCTCCTCAGCGTATCAAACTTGGGACGCGTACGACCTCCTTTTACTTCAGCCACCGCTCAAAGATGGATACAAGACTTTAGTTGGAGTTTGGGTCACGAATCGTGTGAAGGTCCGTCTCTCACTTTTACTGCATTCTGCTCATTTAATCTACATTTCTAACCTGTTGGACCAGTTCAGGCGCTTTGTGATGGAAAAAGTCTTTCCGAGGTGGAAGGTCAGGACATGTGCTGAGTGGTATTGGGTCAAGGTAGCGAGGGATGGGAGGCCGGTTTGGGAGTGGGAGAGTGAGCATAGGCGTTGTTATGAAGGTTAGTCTTTCATCTCTCTTCTTCATATGCAATCCTGTGATCTCTGAGTATTTAGGTCTAATAATCGGCGTGTACGACAATCCTCTCGCTTCTCCCACTGCTGCTATCCCTAAGGAGCCAGAGGAGGACCAACGAGGGATTCCATACCATCACGTCCTCGTCTCCGTCCCCACCCAGCATTCGCGCAAATTTCATTCGATTTTGTTGCTGGAGAGAGAAACAGAGTGCGGGGAGAAAAGGAGTTGGATGTGGATGTAAAGGTTTGGTGCATCAACGAAGAGGTAGATCAAGGTATGCTCCTCATTTACTGTGTGCTTTGCACGCTAAATTGAGCTGATGAGAGAGGTAGCACGATTTCCGTGCACGAATTATACCACAAACCGATCCTCAATCCATCCTCTTCTCTCCTGCGCATCCCTCTCAGAACTTCCAAACACGATGATTCAACGGAAACATCCATCCTCCTCCCTCCACGCTCCGGTTTCATAATGGGAGACTTCACGACCTGGTGTGACGGAGAGTTACTGCGGCCACTTCTCCCTAAAGATGGTAAAACCAAAGAGACAGGATGGGATCTCATCCTCCTTGAGTACGTCTTCCTATCTTTACTTCATACAAAATTATGGCTGAGATTTGATCATATAAAATGGACAGTCCTCCATGGCCGAATGCCTCTGCATCCCGCTCCTCAGCGTATCAAACTTGGGATGCGTACGACCTCCTTTTACTTCAGCCACCGCTCAAAGACGGATACAAGACTTTAGTTGCAGTTTGGGTCACGAATCGTTTCAAGGTCCGTCCTATCACATTTATTGTATTCTGCTCCTTTAATATAAATTTCTAATCTGTTGGACTAGTTCAGGCGCTTTGTGATGGAAAAAGTCTTTCCGAGGTGGAAGGTCAGGACATGTGCTGAGTGGTATTGGGTCAAAGTCGTGAGGGATGGGAAGCCGGTTTGGGAGTGGGAGAGTGAGCATAGACGTTGTTACGAAGGCTCGTCTTTCATCAATCTTCTTCATATGCAATCCAGTGATCTCTGGGTATTTAGGACTAATAATCGGCGTGTATGACACCCTTCCCGCTTCTGCTGCCATACCTAAAAAGCCAGAGCCAGAAGAGGAGAACGGACGAGGGATTTTATACCATCAGGTCCTCGTCTCCATCCCCACCCAGCATTCGCGCAAACCACCCATCTTCCCGCTCCTTCGTCCACATTTGAGAGAAGGGGGGAACGGCGCGAACATCCTAGAGTATTTTGCGAGGGAATTGCATGCTGGGGAGGAGAAAGGAGTCTGGGTCGGGGTTGGGAATGAGCCAGTCAAGTTTATGCTGGAGAGGTATTGGAGAAAGGAGGGTTGTGATTTGGAGTGAATGGTCAAATACAATGCACTTGTCATCCCGCAATGTCATAACCGTCATCCAACAACTGTTGAAGGACTGGTCCCTCATGCCTCCTGCAACATCCGACTAAACTGATCTTGCACTTCCTTCGAATTCGACCTCCGTTCCCTCCCAGTCCCGACACCTACCCCCTTGCTGCTCCTCAATCGCTGAATATCACCCCCGACCAGTCCATCCTCCATCAAAGTCTTCGCCGCTGAATTGAAAGCTGCCAACATTTGGCTGTCCTGAAACGTCTGGTTGGTCGCCTTCAACACCCTGTTCCTCTGTGCCACTCTCATCTCTTCCATGTTTCCTTCACCCAAGATGTCGGCCAGGATTTGACGGTGGTTGCCCAGCGGTGCTATTCGCCATAACGCCTTTTCTGTGGCGCCGATAGGTCCCTGAAAGGTCGCTTTCTTGACATCTTCTGCGTCACGACATTGCCATAATGCGTACCTACAAGAGAAGATCAGTGAATGAAAGCATTACTTGATGATGGCAGCATTGCAAGAAGGAATGAAGGACGTACACAGCATGCTTGAGGTGATAAGGCTTGTCCTTCGCATCGAACCTATGCAAAGATATGTTTGTGACCGGATCCTGGAGGTAAGGGAACTGGTCTCGGATGTGTTGGATGGAGTGGAGCCCGTAGGAGTTGGGGAGGTTGAATATTCGGAATATGGTGCAGAAGGGATGGCCGATCGGCCAATAGGTGTTGTCGATGAACATGTCGAAGGGCAGAGGTGGTCGAGATGGCGAGGGGTGGAAAAATAACATGGCTTGTTTTAACTCTTCGTATGTCCTCCAAAGCAATGCGACTTTCATTCCTCGATCATGACCTGGTGGAGGATTCTCTGGGCTTCTCCCAAACAATTCACTTCAGCTTGTATCCTAAGCAAAAAAGATAGAAAAAGCAACATAGCATACTATAAAATGAAGTTTTTCGTCAACGCTTTGAATCCGGCTTCTGTCGAATAATAGCGCTGGTAGAACCACTGACGAAACCCCATCCCCTCCGGCAGCTCAGGCATATTATCATTGGGCACTAACATCGTCCAAAAGCCCCCGTCCCTCGAGCCTGACCCCTGCCCTCGTCTGGAGCGAACTGTTCGCGGTCCCGTGGAGGTTTTAGACGAGGTGGACGAGCGACATCCCTGTGTCGCCACGTTGATTGGGACGGAGATGATGTGGAAGAATGTCGGAAAAAAGGAAGGCGGGAAGGTATTTGGGGGTGAATGACGGAGGGGAAACCAAGCCTTTGCATGGTTTATTGAGGCGAGGAGGGAGGCTGGTGTTAATGGCAAGGTAAAACTTTATCTGCATGATTGATTGGAATTGGTCGAGCTGCCTGACTCATACGTTCAAGCACAACACCAAATGACTGAAGCAAGGTACTGCCAAAGGTACAAATAACGGGAGGGAGAATGGGGAAATGTTAGAGCAGCAAGCAAAATGCAGAGTAGACGTTGGTACATTGGGGTTTTTGTCGTGACCAAAAAGCAAAAGGCGACGTTGGTAGGATTCGAACCTACGCGCCCGAAGGGCAATGGTTTTCTAGACCATCCCAGTAACCACTTTGGTACAAACGCCAGCTTGTGAAAACGGTTTTGTCAGTGTCTATAAACACGTAAAAGACAATAGGAACATCATCCACAGCCTTGACCTTGACCCAGTGATAATAGTAACAGTGCTGCAATACTAAGAAGAGCAAGCATAAAACGCTTTCACATCCCAAAAGTGGCCTCATCTATTACGGATAGCTCTGCAAACGTGGACGATGGCTGCAAACTACTACCTTTCAACACAAGCGTGTGTCACCGCGATCTTCCATTCTTGTCCTTTACACGTCCCGCTGACTCTTAAACAGGAACTATTGGACGCTGACTCCTCACGCGCTGCCACCTGGCAAGGACCCTCGACTATCAGTATGCGACGCCGCTTTGAGCTCAGCTGGATATGCATCTGGACAGCAAATGGTTCGTCTGCATTCTCATTTCCCTCTCTCAACTTCTAAAGGCGTAGCTAATGAGTGAGAACCGATAGTCCCCAAAAGTTGTCTAAACGTCTTCACCTGCGTCAGCAAGTCACTTCGACAGCAATCGTCTACTTCAGACGATTCTATATCAAGAACTCGTATTGCAACACCGACATCCCACTCGTCCTCACGGCTTGTTTATACATGGCCGCAAAGGCAGAGGAGACGCCAGTGCACATCCGTACCGTCTGCTCTGAGGCGAGACAATGCTTCATAGGTGCGGTTCCTCGCATGTATTATGTGTTCCAGTCAATTGTTCAAGAGAAAGCGGTGTGACAGATATGGGTATCACAACCTTTCCTACAGACTCCTCAAAGGTGGCTGAATGCGAATTCTACGTCATATCCGACCTCGAATTTTGTCTCAAGATCTTCCATCCATATTCCCACGCTATACCAGCTCACCGGACGGGATGTCACTCTCATCGCTCTGCATCCCGTGCCAAGACCAAATTCTCGATCAAAAGGTAGAGGTGGACGACGTGACATTACAAATGGCATGGTTCGTCTTTTCCTTCTCTTCTCTTGCGTAGTACGCATCTGAATTCAAAGCAGGTTCCTCATAAACGACCTCAATCGTACCACCCTTCCCCTCATCCACCCACCCC